CCCACTCAAATTTAAAGTTTTGATGGGACCACTACCATGTTTTATAGCAAATATGCATTCCATTTTAATGTTGATAACTACAAAAGTCAACAATGCAAAATGAAAATACAGATTCAGGGAGGTTTCATCTTACTGAAAAATGATGTGAATCTCTCTCATGAAGATCTAAGCCATGTCTTTGAGATGCTGTATATCAGTGTACTGATATGAACTCATCTTGGTCATTATAGCAGCACACATATCCTTATGAGACCTTGCTATCACCATTGGACTACTGGAGAGCTTCCAAATTGATCTAACTCTAATATTTTGTTCCAGATACCAGACTAGACCTGAAAATATATAACATGTTTCACTTAATTCTAAAAAAAAAGAAAGATGTAGGCAAATGAAGTAAAAATGTGTTAGATATAGTGATTTCAAAATAACATTCAGGTTGCAAATATGGGTAAAAAAAGGTAAACTTGACAGAGTGACACTCAAAGATGTGAAGCAATGGCATGTAATAAAGTGATAAATACATCCTAAAAACAGATGAAGTTTCTACAAGCTATTTAGCCATTTACAGGTTAAATAACTAATCAGGTAGAGTATGTATCATAAAGTTTAAGGCAATGTTGGAACGTGAGGTTTGATCATTGGTACAAACATTGATACATACCAGTATAATGGAAAGTCAAATGACAATGTACCAAATTAAAATTTATTACTATATGCAATCCTATTCATGAAGAAAAAACAATTTTAGATATTGCAAGTGAATATAGCCAAATGTGGCCACAGATCAAATATAGGTACCAATAGATCCTATATCATCAACTAAAAGTAAAATTTTCATCCCGAAAACTTGTAAAAAGGATGGATATTTGCATGTGTGGGACATATGCAATGTACTTGTTAAAAATCACATGTGCAAAATGATCCAAATAATCTGTTTGAACATTTTTTGTCTATTTTTAAGAGTGTTGGCTACCAAGTTATTAAGCTCAATGATTCAATGGAATCAGATATCAGCTGATGCTGCAATACTGCCCTCTGTCAAAGTACTAAATTGAAATGTGTTACCATACAGAGGCATATTCATGATGAAAATAACATCTTGATATTTTAAGTGCACACAGTCAGAACTGAGCCTTACAGATTAACTATAGGTACTATGTCAGCCTAACAATGTCAACTTTTGATTCCAAACATTCCAAAATATATGCGCATTTGTTCATGTCAGCTATGTAACGATGATAGGATCAGTTGTAGAAAGTTAAATTCAAATAATCTGTTTGAATATTACTTACGTAATCTTTAAAGTGTCAGATAACAAATATTATTAGTAAATAACAATGCATAAAACAAAATGGATCATTAGAATTCCCATAATATTGTCTGGGCCACAATGGGGCACTACATCAATCAACATCTTAAAGAAACTGAACAATAAAATGGAATGCATTCTGTGTTCAACTTACATCATTTTGCTGTTTTCTTATATGCAATGGTAAATATACCTGGGTAAAGTATATTTTACCCCTCTGACCTGTATTTCATTCTTTGACAGCTTAATATGATTTTGTAGAGAACTTGAACAGGTTCTAGGATAAAGTCTTTATCTCTGTCCTCTCACTAAATACCCTATAACTATGTTTATAAGCAATTACTGATAGCTATACAAGCAGATATGTGTTACTCAGGAAGTCACCCCATCATAAACACATAAATTAACTGTTTGGACCCCAAATAAATAGTTTCAAAGACCTAAAGGTACAAAGCAAAATAGAATTTTGTCTTCATGTATTTTAAATGAATGTCTCATTTTGACTAACAAAGATATTTTCTCTGATAAAATTTGACAAATATCCATCATTTGAGCTTGTATATGGTGTATAAGTATATACATGCTGATATCATTTAATATCATTCTCAATAAATATTATATATGTGTATAATCGTTGGAAAAAATTTTATTTTTTAATTGTTTTTAATTTTTTTAAAAATTTTTAAAATTAAATTTTTTTTATTTTTAATTTCATTTTTATATTTTTAAAGTCAATATACATAACATATTAAAATTTCATATGTATATCATTAATAATAAAGATTTTATATCAGTTTAAACTTTACTCACCTGCTTTACTGACAGGCCATAGAATACAATTAATTTTACTATATAGTCTCTACATTTGTTTCTCAGTACTGAACTTTCACTGTATGACAATCAATACAAATCATATGTTAATCTAAAATACCTTCAAAGATGACTTTACCATGAAATTCTTGTCAAGGGTTGACCTGCATTTTTTTGAGAGGCTGAATTGTAAACAAAACACCATGCAATTTCAAATCACCATAACCTTATTACTCAATGTGCACTGTCACCGAAATATACACAGACAACCATACCATAAGCTTACATTCTAAAGAATAAACAATTGCCTTTAAATCTTTACCAAGAATGCCAAAATCTAACTCTTGTATCAGCACCAAACGGAGACAGGAAAAAGTAGTATAATTATTCCCCCTTGAACTGTGCCATTATAATTTTGGCAGAATTATACCCCCCCTTTAAACATCAACTTGTGCCATTATAATTTTGGCAGAATTATTCCTCCCCCAGTTTAAACATCAACTTGTGCCATTATAATTTTGGCAGAATTATTCCCCCTTTAAACATCAACCTGTGCCATTATAATTTTGGCAGAATTATTTCCCCTTTAAACATTAGCCTGTGTCATTATGATCACCTTTTTCTGTCAGATAAGTTTTTATCCAGTTAGATGACATTTTATGTAGGCAAACTTGTCCACCTTACTTACATGACTGTTGTAATCTCTGATCATATTTATTTGTAGAAGTATGTGTACTTGTCACCAAAACAGTTCATTTGGAACAATATAGAGCTTATTGATGATGTTAAAACTGAAAACCATCCTAAGACTGGTCAGTCAGAAATCATTTCAACTTTGTTCTTTCATTCTCCTTAGAAAGTTAAAATGCTGATATGTATGGCAGTGGGTGATTACACAATCAGAAAGGTTGCTACCAAACTTTCTGGCATCAAATGCAATTTATCAACATAAGATTAAATAACATGTCTTTTCTCATGGACTGTTATATAACAGGAGTGCAGTCTTGATATGACATGAGAAGGACTAAAGGAAGTACATTTTAAAGATAAAAGCAAAATGAATTGATGACTTTTATGTTGAAATTAAATTATTGGATACAAATTTGAATTAATTTCTATTTTTATGCTAAGATCTTTTTTAATTCTAGGCTGTTATTCCTATTTAGCATATGGAGGAATTTGTATATCTATATTTTCAGTACTGTATATGTAATTGTGTATATAATATGTATATATATAATTCCAAATAGAAATTTTTTTTTACATTACATCAACAACATTATAGCATTGAAGTCTTGGAGTACAGTTTCTTTTCTTTCTCTAGTCAAATATTTATGGGGATAGACTACTTCCTGCATATTCGTGCATTATTAATATACTGCAATCATCATGTACAGTTATAAATTGTCTGAAGCTGGTGGAGCATAACTTAAATTACATAAGACAGCTGTATTACAGAGTTGTGGTATAGATCACACAGGGAGAAATTTTTTTTAAAAATTATTTATCTGTGAATTTCTTTTGAACTTAGATATGTCTTTTTTGTTGTTTTTTGTTTTTCATTTATCTAAATATAATTACTTTTTGAATGCATATATTGGATATAATTTGTTCTTTTCCCTAATTGCTAATTATAACTTGACTGAACTTTCAGTTGGATTCAAATGCTGTAGATCTGCTGTCAAATATGGTCAATTGTTGCTAAAAATGGAAGAAAGAAAGAAAACAAAAAGCAGCTTCTTCTGAAAAAGAATTTAACCAATCTTTATGGTAAGCATTCTGACAAGAAAGGCTTTAAAATTTGTACACTGATGCCAGACTTTAATGCAGTATGGCTGCCATTATAAAAAATAGAGTGAAACTAGCTTCTCAAGAACTGTTTCATAAAAACTGACCAGATTTGATGGAGATAAGAAAGGATTTCCAAAAGTTATTAAGATGATCAGATATAGTCACTGTTTCTGAAAATGGAAAATCCTTTACAAGATATGTTCTTTAAAAAACCTTGGTATGAAGCAGTTTTAAATTGATGTGAATCTGCCATCAGATATGGCTGCTTCTTGTTGCTTTTGTTTTTTATGTTGTTAAAATATGCATGCTTTGATAAGATTTGACAGAAAACTGGTCAAGCATGCTCATCTCCAGACAGATACCTATGATGATGTTCTAACATCAAATATGGCTGCCATTACTAAAAGTAGCAAGACAGTTGTGCAACTTATAAAGAAGTAACTGCTGAATAGACCTTGACCAATTTGACGAAAGATATCCTGGCATATTGGTCTTTCAGTATTGGACTAATCTAATGATGGTGGTGTGTGTTATTATATATAGATTAAGATACTAAAACGAGAAAACCTGCAACAATTAATTTCATACCATATGCAAATAAGCTATTTTGGAAGAAAGCTTAACAGCTATCATTTGAAAGACCCATATTCCTTGGAAAACTTCTTGTGCATTTGGAAATGTGGTAGGTGTCAGTCAGATATGCAGTCTCAGTTAAATTTTAAACTTTGTACTCACCTTGAAAGTTTCAATTAAGAAAAGTCTCAGCATAAAAGTTGCATTCCTTTGGAGCTACATTTTAATTTGTCAAATGTTCTAAAATGTTATTTTTCCAAAACTCAAATAAATAAGTATGTATATGTGATTTGGATTTTTAACATTTACAATAAAATTCAGTCATATTGCTACAATGTCTGCAGTGTGGTAGTTTATAGTGATATCTAGCACTGTGGCATCATGCTGCAGCCATGTAGCATTATATCCCACCTAATCACATTATCCTCACACCAGGCTGACCAGTTCTAACACTAATCTTTAAATGCTTATTGCCAAACAAGGCAGCTGTAAGCACCATTTTTATAAGTCTTTGGTATGACTAAGCAGGGGTTCCAACCTATGAGCCCCTGCATCAGAGGCAGATGCTCTAACCACTAGGCCATCGGAGCAGTCCCCAAATAAATAGCAGATGGATTTGTATTAAATGTTACCTTTTTAAGTGCTACTTGCCATATATACTCATCAACATTAGATCCAGTGCCAGAATGCATTAATCCAGATTTGCTGGTGCATTATGTGATGGCATAGCTGGGTCTATTGTGTTTGCTTATTTTGTTTGACTTTGATAATGATAATCATTTTATTGAAGTTTTACTAGTACTTTACCTTCTTACAAAAGTAAATTTTAAAAAGTTTAGTTTTAGTGAAAATAATTTTTCAATTAAAAGTCATTTTGAATTATATGCCTTTTATTGTTTTTAGTTCAACTAGTCCTAAACCAGAAGGGGATGGTTTGTTTATCAGTTAGCACAAATCCATTACTGCATTTTAATAATTGATTATAATTTTCTCATTAGGCACAGTCTGCCTGCATTTGTTTGTTACTTTATGTAGTGTATGTGTGTGTGTGATTTGGATTTTTAACATAGCTTTAACATTTTTTCAGTCATATTGCTATAATGTCTGCAGTATGGCAGTTTAAAGTGATGTCTACCACTGGGGCATAATGTCACTTACATGTAACATGATGTCCCACCTAGTCACATTATCCAGACAGCAGGCCAACCAGTCCTAACACTAACCTCTTAATGCTGAGTGCCAAGTGAGGCAGCTTGGTACCATTTTTGTAAGTCTTTGGTATGACTTGGCCGGGAATCGAACCCACGACCTCCCACATCTGAAGTGGATTCTCTAGGCACCAGAGCAGTCACTTTATTTAGTACAATTTGATCATTTCAGTGGTAAACACCATACTTGTTATACATTTAATCATGGCAAGATACTGTCTTTACTTGCTTGTAAGTTGAGTCCAGCTGCAAACAGCAATGACCTAGTTCTGCTGTGGCATAATACAGCAGCAGATCAGGGTCTGTGTTGTTTGTTCTACTGACTACTCTTTACAGTCTGCAAAGATCCAGATCTGCCAGTGCGTTATGCAATGGCTGGTACGGGTCTCTTCTTATGAATGGGTATATATATATGGAATACAGTTGTTAATCTTCTGATACTTGGTCCATGCATGATTTAAATCAATGAAAATTTTTTGGAAATTGTCCAGTTGGTTAAAACTGACAGATAATCAACACAATTTTTTTCTTTCATAGTTCAAAAAGCTTGAGTTTTAACATTTTCAAGAAAAGATGAAATTTAATTCAAATATTTCATGTATTGAATTCAAAATCTCTTGCATGTGAAGTCCAATTGTATATCCTATACAACTTGATTTAGTGTAGGGAGTAAATGTCAGGTTCTTAAGTTATCATCAGTACCCAAGGTTTGATAAAATACATGGCAAGTGCTACTTTGGATTATTTTCAACTGGTTATGTTAAGTGACCTGTTTGATAGTTGTTAAATGGAGTGATTTAATACAATATTATCCAGTGCAGTATTTCTTCTTTGTATCCAATCAAAGAGAAGTTTTTGATTACATAGAAAAAAATATATTGCCATCAAAGAGTTTTAGAATTGATAAAATAATACCCAGTGTCAGGTGAAGTTGTCTGCTTCCTTTATTCATTTAATTCTTGTTGTGCAGATTAAAATCACCTAGGCTAAAGGTAGTGGCAAGTTGCAGTAATACAAGGTTTACTTCATTTAATGTGAAGACTGACCTTAAGTCATGGATACTTCCTAGGTGGCATCTCCTTCCAACTAGAACTCTTGGTCACAATAGAATAAACTCTGTCAATTGTGTCAGAGAGAACCATCAAGTATATGTAATCAAACACATTAAGTAACCACCATTGTAATCACTACTATTTGATCCAGTCTGATGAGTAAATGTCGTCTACTTTTGCCAATAAATGCTAGACATAGGTAAAAACAGGGCAGTTTCCTGTGGTGATAATGTGGGGAAGATCACAGACGACAGTTGAGTCATTGTGATGCTTAAACTCTATTCAAATCAAAGTAGGTCTCAAATTTAACCTCCCTAGGAGAGTGTGAGGATTAGTAAAGTTTTAAATTTCTTGAAACATTCTTGTATTAAATAGCATTTTAACTTGCTATGCAAATATTGACTTTGGTATTGATTAAAATGCCTTTTGAGAATTCTTCAAATAACTTTCCAAATGTTTTCTCTCTACTCAGATAATGTTGTGATTGTAAGAAATATAATTTACCAACTGACGGTTTTACTTATTTACTATTAAAAAGTACTATGACCAAACTGTGAAAGTCTTACAGATCAATGTTTATTGTAATCTCTTTTATGCACAGTTGAAAAAGACATACATTTTGTATACAGGTTATTCAGTTCTGAGATAACATACAGAGAAAAGTATATAACATTTATAGAAATGCAAATAGACATAACAAATGCTGTGTTGAAAAAGAAAATAATTAAATCTTAAGTGTCAAATAAGTGAGAACTTCTCTTTAAAACTATTTTCTTATCCATTGACATGACTTATTGACTAATATTTGTTAGACCAAGAAGTTTATTGGGTAAGAAACCAACACCTATGTTTCAATTTCAACTTTAAAACAAAAACATGACTAATTGTTTTGGTATAAATGTTTCTTGTCTCAATATTTGTCCAGTAAGAGTAGATAAATCAAAATACCATATATACTCGTTGATAACATGAGCCCAGCTGCAAACTACAAAGACCCAGGTCTTGTATGTTTGAAATTTGAATCTGTTCTGGTTTCAGCGAAAAAATTAATTTTGTCTTCAAAGTTTCTTTTTTAATAGAAGCATTTTAAATGGTAACTCAAGGTTTACATCACTTATCCTCACAAAAATTTGCAACTAATTTTTTTTTATGAGAATAAAACCTGCAAACAAGTACTTTTAAAAAAATAAAATTTTATTATGTCACTACATAATAAATTATCAATTGTTGGCCTTAAAGAGCATTTTCGTTTATATAAAAGAATCCACTAAAGGCAGGCTTCTCTTGTGTTAGATACAGATATAAACCAAAACACTTTCAGGCATCATGGATGGTACAGTTGCTTATGGAAAACATTCTTTATGCCCTATTGCACTAGAGATGTACCCCTAAGTGAACCAAAATTGAGTTTTCCTGTGAACAAGCAAGAATCACAGACTTAAAGATTATACATAAGCTGTGAAATGTAGTTTTTATTGAATACCTGTTTTCCTTTCATTATCATTTTTCTTGACCAGTTCTTAGAGATAACTCATCTTGAAGCACAAAGAAAAAGAATAGTGCTGAGCAGTTTTTGATGTATTTATGTATCAAGGTATCTAACTTTATGTATCTATTGATCTGTCTATCCATCCAACCGACTCATCAACCTCCTAGTTTCCTAAGCAGCCATGTAGCATTTGCATTTGATGTTGCTCATTAAACTAGCAATTCCAGTTTCCGAATTGGTCTAAAGTGCTGGCCTTTTCTGACCACTGCCATCTGACTGTCCACATGGGTCAGAGTCCCATGTTTGGCAAGTACGGGTATATGACCAAGCTTGCTGGTAGCTTCCCATTGCTCAGTGGATCTCAACGGGGTTTTCCTGATATCTTCCACCACCAGTTATACTGGCAGCTAAGTATAGCCTTTTGTATGCTGTAAAGCCAAGTACAGCTTTTTGTATGCTTTACAGCTAAGTACAGCCTTTGCATGCTGAAAAATAGCATTAAACCTATGATAACAACAAGATTCTGACTTTTTATCTTTATGATCTTGATTAAAATTGAATTCTAAAAATATCTCATCTTTATTATCAATGCCTGTGTTGGTCACATGTTATTCTAGGTTTGAATTAGCTTCAGTACAGCTTAATACTTCATTTAGTAATGACTGTATTCTGGAAGTTGTAATTTTCAGGAATTTGTATCTTAAAATGTTTTTTACAGAGTAAAATATATTTGCTTGGCTTTTTTTGTTAGAAATCTAATGTGGTATGAAACAGTGACTCTATGACCATTTAAGTGATATTATATTTGATTTGCATTTTATTGAAGATCAAAGTATCAGGACATTTGCATTTGAGAATCACACAGTTGTGGCCCAAAACATAAGCAGTAATACTATGTAATAAACAGATGTATAGAATACTGTATACACTTATATATATATATATATATATATATATATATATATATATATATCACAGTATGAATATGTAGACCTAGATATACTATATTTTGTACAGGTAGATCAGATTGGTGCTATTTCTAACTTCTAACAAATGGGACTCATTAGATATGCCTGCCCATTATGTACAGCTGGTATCTATCAGTGCTGATTTCAAAAGGGGTGTACATAACAGTACAGTCACTAATAACCCATTTGTATTGGACAATATTTTTCTTTTCTTTTGACTGGCAGTTGATAGATTAGTGTCCTTTTAAACAACTTTTGTGTCCCTTTTAAGATGAAAAGGTGAAGCTTGTGTGATAAACTTTACTGAGCTGTCAACCCTATTGCCTATCTTGGGCTGAGTGTGAAACTGTCAGGTCTATTGGAAACCTATCTGATGTTTCATTTTGAATGGAAGCAACAATCTAGTACAAAATAACTTGGCAGCAGTTCTTTAGTGGTCTGGCAGAAACATCAGGGATGATAATATCATAATATTTACTTCATATTTGATTGGAATATAATCCTGACACACTGGTGACACAATCCCAGTTTATTTGGAGTGTACTGTATTTACTAAGCTATAGGTAAAACCAGTACAGAATATAATATTGTGGTTAATCTTAAGCCAAAGTCAGGGTGTTTACCTGCTTATCCATAAGTGATCGAGTGCTTTGGTTTATCTAGGTTAATTAGTACTTTTAATAATAATAAGAACAATAACAATAATAATACTAATTATCACAAATCAAAAGGTAAGATTTTTAAAATTTTAAAACAACTATACAACTAGTAGCAATGCCAATTTTTAATGAATTCCTTTTGCCTGATTTTCACATGTTACCATCTTCATTTGTTATTACCATGAAAATTTAATGTATTGAAATAAATATACAACACTTTACATGGAACCCCAATCCACTTGAATATGATGGTTAAATTTCACAAATTATGTAACAGTACTAATTTACCTAGATATAACATATAATATTGAGACAGATTATTACATAATCTGAGAAAATATAGTATATGTATATTGTTCAATTTTTAGTGAGTGGGGCTTTGTGCAAAACTTGATGTAATCAGCAACTTGAATTAATGAATTTTAAATGAGGAAAAGTGCAAAGAGTGATTATATATGTAATTTGTTGCAGAGAACCTCTGCTTAGTTCATACATGTGTAAAATAATTGAGTTTGAAGAGCATGAATAGTTAAAGTTCATGTGTACTTGCCAATGTATCTCATTACATCCATAACTGTGAATCAATAATTCCATAAAAAATGTTTTTCATCCTAGCAGAATTCATGATGTGTCTTTTATCTTTCCAATCTAAAAGTTAACTTCTAATTGGTACCTTTTCATGATGCGTCTTTTATCTCTCCAATTTAAAAGTTAACTTCTGATTGGTACCTTATAGCCAGGTTTGTGTTGATGTGTAATTAAATTTCATACACACAATTTTGTGAAAACAATTAACCTCATTTTTTTATAGACTGTCATGAAATTTGATAAATATTTAAATATTATTTAAATGTTATATATTTACATAAATATTTAAGGTCATTAAACAAATCACTATGCTCCCACACTTGTTAGAGTTATTGCCCTTTAAGCTTTGCAGCTAAATACAGTATATGACCAGATCTTGTGAATGTAACTTGTTTCAATTTTCAGTGGATTGTCATGAAATTGTCATGAAATTTAATGCATGTAATGGCTCTCATCTGAAGATATGCATATTAAAAAATCACTTTTCTCTGGTTTATGTGCAATACTCAATTTCTTCACAATCTATAATGGCTTGCACTTGTGATAATGAAGACCCCACCATCTACAGCATCAACTTGGGGGATGACTTTCAATTTTGGTAAAGAAAAACCCTTTAAATTTTGGGGTAAAGATCAAAGGTCAAGGACTCAGTGACTGGAAGTAAAAGGTTTTCTGCACAATAACTTGACTTCTCCATCATCTACAGGTACACAGGTATAACTTTTTGACTTTGTCAGGCCAGTCAGTACAGGTAAAGAACATAACAATTCTAATTGGTATTATATGGTTAGTGTGTGTGTGTGTATGTGTGTGTGTGTGTGTGTGTGTGTGTGTGTGTGTGTGTGTGTGTGTGTGTGCTAGAGTATGCCAGGTACTTGAGTGGGCTTTTGTTTTCCATGGATGAGGAACACGGAAAAATACTGGCCTTAATATTAATGGATTAACCCATTAACCCCAGGAGGTTTTTGTTGTTTTCACCTGAAATTCGAGTAGGAAATTAATTTTGGGAGATATTTCTGAATACATTATAATACATTGACTTGGAAGACATTTTCAATTAACTTAATGCCTATTTGTGACGTCAATTTTCATTGGCTCTTTCCTTTGAGCAAGAGCAGAAAGGTCAAAAATTGGACTGGTTTTTTTTGCTTAACGGGCCCATCATTTTCGTGTCAAGATCGATCTTCATTCTAAATGCCCATCTTATCCTTTTTGCAAAGGTTCACATGTCTGTGTGCAATTCAGACTGGTCTGTCTTAGATTTGAGGCCAAAAGGTCTAAAATCTGGACACAAAACCGGATCACAACCTTGGGTAAATTTCAGCTGGAAAAAACTCTACCACCTCTTGCCAGGTAAATGTGGCACTATGGGTTGATGAGTTAACTTGTCACCAGTCTAATTGTCAGATTGCCAGTCTAGTTATTATATTTTGAAATAGCTAATATTGAAAGAACAAGTTAACAGTGAAGTCCACATCTATATTGTTATATTGAAAATGAAATTACTTTTTTTTATTAATGTAAAAAAAGGCTGAAATGGTTAAAAATTTATTTTCTTCAAGAATACATGTTTTTTCATTTATTTTGGCAATAAAACTTAGCAATTCAAACATAATTTGGGAGATATTGTTGAAGAGATCATAAAAATATCAGGAAACATGAATAACCTGTTAATTACTAAACATTGGAATAATAATTTTAGTCTTATAAGGACCAAAATAGGCCCTTTAACCTTAAGACCATATGTTTTGTAGTCCTTACTTTAAGGCCTTCTGTTCCATATATAAAGAGCAATCTTCCCCATCTATTAGCTTTAGCCTCCCCCCCTCAATATAGACCTGAATCTAAACATTTTCACTGAAGGCATATCATTATTGTTGTTGTTATTATTATTATTATTATTATTATTATTATTATTATTATTATTGTTGTTGTTGTTGTATTTTTAATTATTATTATTATTGTTGTTGTATTTTTAATTATTATTATTATTATTGTTGTTGTATTTTTAGTTATTATTATTATTGTTGTTGTTGTCTTTATTATTATTATTATTATTATTATTATTATTATTATTATTATTATTATTATTATTATTATTAGTGTTAGTATTAGTATTATAATATTGACTTGGAAGACCACTGATGGTGATACCACTTGTCTTGATAAAGCATGCCTCGAGATCATAGGACTTGAGTTTGAGATTGCATTTTCATTTTCAGTCAAATCAGACATTATAAACTCTATCAAAGAAGTTTTATCATTTCCTGGCCAGATTTTAATGTACAGATAAAATGTTACATAGTGTAATACTAAGTAATTAGATTGTTGTATTGATCATCCCATCTGAGTCAGAAAATGAAATTAGGGAAAACAAATTATTGTTGCTCAATTTTCTAAAATACTATTTGTGGTTTATGTTAAATGAGCCATCTAATGACAATTTTTATATAGGGAAATGTAACAATCACTACTGACTTTCATCTAAGGTGGCAGGCATTAAGATCTACCTTACTGACACTAATCCCCCTACCCATGATGCAATACTTGGGTACAGAGCAGTACTGTATTAACCAGTAGGTGCTTTCATAAAGAAAAGGTGTTTAGTGTATTGCAACACAGTTTGGCTAACTTTGGAAGATCATTTGCAAGTGGTAATGAAATTTTCATCTTTCATAAGTGCTGTAATCCATCACTTTCACTCACTTTGGTCAGGTAACAACATGCCAAGATACTAAAATGATTGATGGCTTAACATTAAAATGTATGTGTCTTAAAAATGATGAATATTCTTTCATTGGTTTATGTGTATTTCAGAAGTTTGCTTCTACTTTTGGCATGTCTATTTCAGTTAAACTTGTTAAAAAAAATATTTGTCGTCCAATTAGAGAAGATTATCTTATTATTTTAATTGTGTTTATGAAATCACCAAAATATAAACAGATTGGAGATAAACTGGCTGGTTTCAGTTGCTGGTTAGATTATTGTCCTTTTTCACCTGAGCAATCTACCCGTGTAACATTTAACATTTTTTGTGATATTATTGCATTAGTTTAGCCTTATATTTTTAATTTTGCATTCATTGCTTCTAAAGATAAGAGAAGAATGGGTTTTTGTCTATAGAGTACTTGGATACTTGCTTCTATAAATAAAACAGCATCAATAAATTAGAGAACTTGAAAAAGATTGGTATTTGTACAAGGATGGTCTTATTAAAAAGGTGAATTGTATATTATTTGAAAGAGTCTGTACTTTGAATTTTTAACCACTCCAGTGGCCTAGTGTTAGGAGCATCTGCCTTAGATGCGTGAGGTCGCAGGTTCAAACCCGGCTGAATCATGCCAAAGATTTACAAAAATGGTACTAACAGCTGCCTTACTTGGCACTCAGCATTAAGAAGTTAGTCCTAGGACTGGTTGGTCTGGTGTCAGGATAATGTGATTGGGTGGGACATTATTCCATATGTCTGCAGCATGATGCCCCAATGCTAGACATCACTATAAACTGTCACCCTGCAGACATTATAGCAATATGATTGAAACATTGTTAAAGCTACATTAAGGATCTAAATCACACACACTTTGAATTTTTGATCAAATTAGCAGGTTGGTTCTAAAACCAGAATAGTTATTTAAGCTATATGTCCATTTCAAAAGAAGACAAAGTACAGTTAATAATACAGTCTGCTTGTTTTCTTGTTAAGTATAGTCACCTCAAAATTACAGTTATAGTTATCCTACAAGGCTATCTCAGCATATCAATATCATATAAAATAGTATAGTGTTGTATAAAGTAGACAGCTAAAACAATATACAGTACTTTAGCCTGCAGCTAGTTGATAAGGAGAAGGTTGAATGCAACAAAGTAAATCTTTACATGTTATCAGATACAGATCTTTTTCACAATATCATTCATTTGGAGGATAAAAATGTACCACCTTATAATGAGGTCACATAATATTGAGGTGTTTAAAATATAATATTGAATTAAATGGGGTCCATAATCACCCCCAATGGGATCCATGACTATTTCCAATTGGATAAATGACCCTACCCAGTGGGCATATTGACCAAATAGAGTGCAGGACCATCCAGTCTGATCCATAAAAATATCCAATGGGATCCATGATTATACTACATCTGATCCATGATCATACCTGATAGGTTCTATGACTATATCAATATCCAAATAGAATCCATGACAATACACAATGGGACCCATAAATATATCCAGTAGGATCCATGACCCTACCCAGTAAGATTCATGATAATACCAAATGGGATCTACAATATATGAAGTGGAGTCCATGATTGTATCCAATCCATGACTATATACAGTGGGATCCATGACTATACCCAGTGGGATCCATGACCATACCCAGTGGGATTTATGACCATATCAAATGGGATCCATGACAGTACAAATGAAAGCCATGACCAATAACAATATACAATGGGATCCATGACCATACCCTATGGGATCCATAACAGTATCAAGTGGAATCAATAACCATATCTAATTGACCAAACCTAATGGAAGCTATGACCTTATCCAGTTGAAACCATGACCATATAGCCATTGTTTCCCATAACAATATCCAATGGAATCCATGACCCTCTTCCTTTCAATTAGGCGTCATATGTAGGAAATGATCACCCTCGATGTAATTACCCAGTGTGGATGGATAGATGGAACTTTACAGATAACTGTGCAAAGTATTGAAAGAAATAAAATGAGCCCCCTTCAATGAATGAAATATAAAATTTTAATCAAATAACATATAATCAAAGAAACAAACAATACCCCTATAACGATTTTCTAAATTACATAGCCAAAGCCAAATTCACTTTCTATTCAAATGATGGTCCATGACAGAATTCATACAGCATATAAATTTCATCATGTACTCGAATGATGTTTTGAGTATTATCTTGTGCTTTTCACAGCATCACCTGTCTTGTCTTCCACGTTTGACTGCGTGCTTGATCCTCTTTGATGCTGACATCCCAAAGATGTAGCTTTCCCCCTTTACTCATTGAGTTTCTTCCATATTCCTCTTTCTCCTTTCTCTTGTTCGGATTATGACCATGAAGGTTGGACTCAACTATGAAGGTTGAATTCGAACTATAAAGCTGTCCTCTTCAGCCATTTCTTTCAAACAAAGAGTTCTAGCCTAGTCTATCTTCCCTCTAAGACACTATTTGGCTTTGTGGTACTTTCATGAGACCACTACTGTGCATCCCAATATGTTTTTTTTTTACCTTCTCTTAAGGAAAATCTAACTAAAGGATATTTCTGAGTGATAGTTCTTAAATCATTTCTAAAGGTATACGCCCTTAAGTTTCAATGGCCAATCAGAAATAAATGTTCCATAATTTTCCATCCAACTCCAATGTCCAGTCTCTGTCATCTGTATTACTGGCCTAAAATATTTCACAATTAGCGTCCTTTGAAAACTCAGTTATTTGATTTATGCCCTTTGTACCACATGAAATGACTGGGTCAGATTCAACTGGAGTTTTTACACATAATTCCTTTCATGTTGAGATGCAGTGAGGAAATAGTATTGAACTTCCACCAGACCTTTCTGTTTCACTTATGAAAGCACAATTTATTTAACCATGGTTGGCTTCAACATGTTTAAAAATTCGACACATCACAAGAATCTATCACCATATACAATGTGACTCAAGACAGTATTTAATGGGATTCATAACCATACCCATTGGGGTCCATGACCATATCCAGTGGGATCTATGACCATGTCCAATGGAATCTCTGACCATATCCAGTGGTAGCCATGACCATGCCCTATTGTATCTATGGTGGGATCTATGACCATGTCCAACGGGATCAATGCCCATGCCCAGTGGGATCTATAACCACATCCAATGGGATCAATGACTGCACCCAGTGAAATAAATGGCCATACCCAATGGGATCTATGATCATACATGCCAAGTTTTCTGGAAACAAAACAGGGAGATTTGTGTTCAAAATCAGTGAGATTGGGTCCATTTCAGGGAAATTATATTAACGATTATTTTTCTCATAAGTTTAAGCACGAAAATGCAGATCGTACCACAACTAAGTAAAATAACTATAATGAATAATAGTTACTTAACTTTAATAGTTACTTAACTTTATTAATTTTGTTATATGGCCGCTGTTCACAAACTGTGGAGAGGACGGAATTTTTCTTTCCAACCATTCTGTCTATTTGTTAAGACTTCTTGAAGACAGTTGAAAAGGTTTGCATCAGTTCCAATATTGCAAACGGCATAGCCAGGAATTCAATTCGGTTGTCACTGTGACTACTGTCATTGTCAAACAGCCTTACAAGAATTGCTACCCACTTTTCATCACCACTGTCATTAGACTCGTCCATCATCACTGAGAAAGGGTTTTCCTTGCATAGTAAATTTACTTGATTGTCTTACATTGGACCCAGTGCATTGTTAACAATGTTTGTTACTTTGGGGGTTTTTTTGCAGTGAAATTTCTGAGCAATTTCTGATTTACACAGCTCACTAGATGGATCAGCAGCCAAGAATGGTAAATTATGCTATGCCACAGAGGTAGCAAGCATAACCTCTGCTTTAATGACACTGTCTACTGATATTGGTACAAACATTTGCATTACTTTATGCACATTATGTGATGATTTCTCATTTGCAATGTGCTGCATACTTTTCAAAATCAAGTGCCTTTTGCGATCAATTTTTTTTCCCCACTAGAATTATATGTTCAAATTAGTGTTGCAAGCTGTGCAGTACTAAAAGCTTTCTCTCTTTTCGCTACTCTTTACACATTTAAATTCGCCTATCCAAGCACTGTTGAAGTTGCAAACATACTCCTTTTATTTTTGAAGGCATAATTTCCATCGAATCTGTTAGCGGACATTTCAACATCGTACCAGAATTTTTGAAGTATTCCCCAAAGTAGTTGTAGGAATATGCATCAATTTTTATGTGTTCGGTGATTTGTCTCTGGCGAAGTGCACTACATACTGTATGTTAACAGTGAAGGCCAATGATATTTTGATTGTGATGTGCCTCTTTCCATTGCATATTGCTGCATATGAACAAAAGTAATTCAGAATATAATTTGCAATGGGATGAAGTTACATCCAAGGTATATTTCTCAAATTGTTATTTTAGCTGGAAATACCTTGGCACGTTTTTTTTTTATTTCCAGGAGATCTTGTAGCAAATCAGTAGGGATCAAAAATCAAAAGACTTTGGACAAATCGTGAGACTTAGCATGTATGCATGATCATACCAAAATGGGATTTATGAGCATACCCAGTGGGATCTATAGCCATACACAATGGGATTTGTGACCATATCCAATTGTATCTATGACCATTTCCAATGGGATTCATGATAATGGGAGCCTTCGTATTATATACATTATATTGAGGTGTCTTATAGCCAGGAAGTATTGTTTATGCGAGTTAACTTGAATTATATTTCTGAGAGTTTTTTCTTTTACTCAAATGACTGCTGTTAATATTGGAAGTCTGTGAGGATATCAGAAATATTTCTAGGATTCAGATATAGGGCTTGTCCCTCACTTGAGCAAGATTATTTATTTAATGAGTACCTAATTATTTGAATGTATACAATCATTGGATTACACTATTGCTTCCCTTGATATTAAAATTTTAGTAATTTTAGTAAAGGAAAATGACTAAACAATTTTGAAGTGAGTTTTACATGTGAGAAACCATTTTTCAGATTTGATATGCACAGTTGTGTGATTTCTGATATAACTGGTGAATTTTTTTGGTGAATAAAACCAATATTTAATTTTATTTTACCATATATACTCGCTTATAAGACAAGCCAAACTGCAAACTGCATAGACCCAGATCTCTGCCATCACATTATGTGCTGACAGATTTAGGTCTGTAATTAAAATTGTCAGAAAGTATATATGTAAATAGATGAGAAAATGTTTGAATGCAGATATAGCTAGAAGAACAAAAACAGTTAAATTTGCCAGTCAACATGTCCAGGGCATGAACTTTGTACATCCCAGTGTTAGTTTAGTTTGTTTTTTTTTTTTTTTGCCTAGATGAGATTGCAGATTCCTCTCATCATTGTAGTGATTTATACTCAAAATTTAAAAATTTGTGAACACTTATTTTATCCATTTTCTTAACAGTTATAATCTTGCCGCTTTGAAATTAGTAACATGCATTAAAATATGCCTAGATTGGGATCACTTGGTTTTATAATTTCATGTAGTATGTAATTATTGGTGTCATGTAAAAAAGTCGTAAACACAGTATGCGCATGTTACATTTTGGTTTGTTAATCATCCTTTCATTCATT